CACCTGATCTTGGTCGTACATGAATAGGAAACATCCCCCGAAAGTTTCAGCTTTCTAGCTTCTCCCTTTCCTGGGTTAATAATTTTCGCGCCAAGATTCCCACGTGCTTGTACGTGGGCTCGGGCGTTTCTAAACACTTGATTTTGATCTACATGAGTAGTGAATATCCCCTTAAAGTTTCAGCTTTCTAGCTTTCCCGTTCCCGTGTTAGTAATTTCCGCGCCAAAATCTCCACGCACCCATATTTGGGCACGGGCGCTTCTAAACACCTGATCTTGGTTGTACATGAGTAGGAAACATCCCCTGAAAGTTTCAGTTTTCTAGCTTCTCCCGTTCCTGGATTAGTAATTTTCGCGCCAAAATTTCCACGCGCTCGTACGTGGGCTCAAGTTCTTCTAAACACTTGATTTTGCTCGTACATGAGTGGGGAATATTGCCCTAAAGTTTCAGCTTTTTAACTTTTCCCGTTCCCAGGTTAGCAATTCTCGCGCCAAAACTTTCACGTTTGGCGTACGTGGGTCTCAGGCGCCTCTAAACAACTGATTTTGACTGTACATGAGTAGGGAACATTCGCGTAAAATTTTAGCTCTCTAGCTTTTTCCGTTCCCGGGTTAGTAGTTTTCGCGCCAAAATTTTCACATGCCCATACGTGGGCACCGGGTGCTTCAAGACACCTGATTTTGCTCGTACATGGATGGGGAACATTACCCTAAAGTTCTAGCTCTCCAGCTTCTCCCGCTCCCGTGTTAGTGATTTTCGCGCCAAAATTTCCATGTGCTCGTACGTGGGCCTGGTCGTTTTTAAACACCTGATTTTAGTCGTACATGAGTAGGGAACATTACCTTAAAGTTCCAGCTTTCTAGCTTTTTTCGTTCCTGGGTTGCTAGTTTTCGCGCCAAAACTTTCAAATGTAGCGTACGTGGGTCTTAGACGCCTCTAGGCAACTGATCTTGATTGTACATAAGTAGGGAACATTCGCGTCAAATTTTAACTCTCCAGCTTTTTTCGTTCCCGGGTTAGTGATTTTCGCGCCAATATTTTCACGTCACACTACGTGGGCACCGGGCGTTTCCAGACACCTCATTTTGCTCGTACATGGGTAGGGAACATTAACCTAAAGTTTCAGCTTTCTAGCTTCTCACGCTTCCGGGCTAGTGGCTTTCGCGCCAAAATTTCCACGCACTCGTACGTGGGCTTGGGCGCCTCCAAACACATGACTTTGCTCGTACATAAGTGGGGAACATCCCTTTAAAGTTTCAGCTTTCTAGCTTTTCACATTCTCGAATTACGAATTTTCACGCCGAAATTTTCACGTGTCCGTTTGTGAGCCCCTGGCGGTTCTAAGGAGCTGAGTTTGAAAACTTTTGGTCGTGCATGAGTATGAAACGTTATTCCAAAGTTTTGACTTCCTA